GCTGGAATACCATCACCTCCACTAGCTTTGTTGTTAGTAATGCTTTCTAAGGCCCATTTAACTTCACATTCCAGGATGTCTGGCTCGAGGTCAGTGATTATACCGTCGTGGTTGTCAAGGACATCGAGGTCTTTCTTGTATAGTTCTTCTGTGTATTCTTGCCATCTTTTCCTAATCTCTTCTGCTTCTGTTAGGTCCCTACCGTTTTTGTCCTTTATCATGGCCAGCTTTGCATGGAACGCTCCCTTGATTTCTCCAATTTTCTTGAAGAGATCTCTAGTCCTTCCCATTCTATTGTTTTCTTCTATTACTTTGCACTGTTCATTCAGGAAGGCCTCCTTATCTCTCCTTGCTGTTCTCTGGAAATCTGCGTTCAGTTGGGTAAATCTTTCCTTTTCGCCTTTGCCTTTCGCTTTCCTTCTTTCCTCTGCTATTTGTAAAGCCTCATCAGAAAGCCATTTTGCTTTCTTGCATTTCTTTTTCTTTGGTATGGTGGTGATTGCTGCCTCCTGTACGATGTCACGAACCTCTGTCCATAGTTCTTCAGGCACTCTATCTATCAAATCCAGACCCTTGAATCTATTCTTCACCTCTACTGTATATTCATCAGGGATGCGATCTAGGTCAAACCTGAATGGCCTCGTGGTTTTCCCAATTTTCTTCAGTTTAAGTCTGAATTTTGCAATGAGTAGCTCATGATCTGAACCACAGTCAGCTCCAGGTCTTGTTTTTACTGACTGGATAGAGCTTCTCCATCTTTGACTGCAAATTATATAGTCAATCTGATTTCGGTGTTGCCCATCTGGTGATGTCCATGTGTAGAGTCGCCTCTTAGGTTGTTGGAAAAGGGTGTTCGCTATGACCAGTGTGTTCTCTTGACAAAACTCTGTTAACCTTTGCCCTGCTTCATTTTGCTTTCCAAGGCCAAACTTGTCTGTTATTCCGGTTACCTTTTGACTTCCTACTTTAGCATTCCAGTCCCCTATGATGATGAGGACATCATTTTTTGGTGTTAGTTCTAGGAGGTGTTGTAGGTCTTCATAGAACCGGTCCACTTCAGCCTCTTCTGCATCAGTGGTTGGGGCATAGACTTGGATTACTGTGATGTTGAATGGTTTGCCTTGGAATCGGACCGAAATCATTCTGTCATTTTTGAGATTGTATCCCATTACTGCCCTTTTCACTCTATTGTTGACTATAAAGGCCACACCTATTTTTTCTACAAGATTCCTGGCCACAGTAGTAGATATAATGGTCTTCTGAGTTAAATTCGCCCATTCCTGTCCACTTTAGTTCACTGATTCCTAAGATATCGATGTTCAGTCTTGCCATCTCATTTTTGACCACGTCAAGCTTACCTTGATTCATAGATCTTACATTCCAGGTTCCTATGCAGTACTGTTCTTTGCAGCATCGGACTTTCCTTTCACCATCAGACACATCCACAACTGAGCGTCCTTTCGGCTTTGGCCCAGCCGCATCACTCTTTCTGGGGTTACTTGTACTTGCCCTCTGCTCTTCCCCAGTAGCATATTGGACACCTTCCGACCTGAGGGGCTCATCTTCTGGCGTCATATCTTTTAGCCTTTTGATACTGTCCATGGGGTTTTCTTGGCAAAGATACTGGAGTGGGTTGCCATTTCCTTCTCCAGGGGATCACGCTTGGTCTGCGTTCTCTGCTGTGGCCTGTCCGTCTTGGGTGGCCCTTCACGGCATAGCCCACAGCTTCATCAAACCACGCAAGCCCCCTCGCCACGACAAGGCAGTGATCCATGAGGGGGGAACTCTTGTGTAGGATGATGTTTTCTCTTAGTCTTTTATCTATGTCAGGCGTCCCCCCAAATGCAATGACTGCAGATACCATGGCGCCCACCAGCACCTTTCCTGACATCTGCCAAGTGGCTTTAGAAAGTGGGTGGGGCAAGATAGCACTTTTGCCCAGGTGAGCTTCTGAAGGGCTACTGGCAGTCTGATTGGCTGAGCAGATTCTTCCAAATGTTTTCTTTTTTGAGCACCTGCCACCAAAGCACAAGGATCTTCACTGAGTGGCTGAAAATAAGCTGTGTGTAATGCAAGAAAATATTTTAAAACAATATGGCCCCGGTCACACGAGTGGGAAAATCCGCACTGGAAGGGAGGCATTTTAGAGGCGGAGCTAAAAGAAGCACGGGAGCGCGATCTTACGCTCCCCCGCGGCTCCGTTCTCCCTCTGTCGGCACCCAATCACACTGGGGAGGCAATGGCGTAGTCCCAGCGAGGCAACACGGCGGTCCCGCGTTAGTGCGCATGCACGGGTCTGCCGGCACATCTGCAATCCCACGCCTGCCGTTGCTGCGGATCTTCCGATAGGTACACCATTTTCCCTAGTACCTTTTCGATCCGCGTTTTCGGCCGGATGTGATGGGTTAGGGGCGGGTGCGCGACACTTGCCAGATGTTGGAGTCTGATCGCGCCGGTTTGATCCACCCTTAATCCGTCCCCTCCGCGTACCTAATTCTCCGTGTGACCGGGGCCTATGTTCATTTTAAAATCCTGTTAAACAGAGCTTCTTCCTGAAATGTCGAAGACCTACTATTATTGTTATGCATACCCTCACTCCCTGACATTCTGTGGCTGGCTCTACCTCCTGCAGTGTCCATTTTGCGGCTGGCTGTGCCTCTTGCGGTGGCCATTTTGTAGTTAGGCTCATCACCCTGTGTCAGAATGCCGAAAGCGCCTGCAGGCTCAAAAGGGTTGGGGATAGGGTTGCCAGGTCACCCATGGCCACCAGCAGAGGGTTGGGAATATCCTGGAGATTTGGGGGTGGAGCCTGGGGAGGACAGGAACATCAGTGGGATACAATGCCACAGAGTCCACCAAAGCATCCATATTCTCCAGGAGAACTGGTCTCTGTAGTATGGAGATGCTGTAATTCCAAGGGATCCCCAGCCTCACCTGGAGGCTGGCATCCCTTGGCGGGGACCCTGGTCTACGTTTTTGCTTGTGTTAAAGAAGGGCAGCAGCACTAACAGACCATGTCCACAGTACCTGCAAGAGATGGGGGGGGGTTTGCACTGTTGCCAGAGATTAGGTCTGTAGCTTGAAAAAGATCTGCAGTGATATGTGAAGATGCATCTACCTTGCCTCCTGTTCTTCAGCCAACTTCTTCCTTTGCCTGCAGTAAAACTTTCCTGTTTGCCCCACAGCAAACAGAAGCGAAGAAAAAATTAAAGGGCCCTAGGAGCATCAAGGCATGAACATTATCATTTCATGTTTGGGATTTTCTCATCATGATTTCTGGGTTAATTTTGCAACCTGATCTTTAAAAGGGCACAAATGCTAAGAAAGCTACAATGATAGTTTATTATTTAGCTCCCATTGTTAGCAACCAGGCTGTGACAAAGGAAAATGGATGCTTTGACTCGGATGTCAACAAGGGTCATAGCAATGCAGTATGTCAGATGTCCCAAATTTGTAATGTACTCACTTCGGTTATAATATGTGCTTGAGGTGTAAAACGAGAACCTTCACCCAGTGCAATTAAAATACTTCTGCCTGACTTAATGCCTTGCAGGGCCAACTTCTGTAGCCAAATTGCCAAGCTGAAAATATAGGCAGAGCAGATTCACACAGCATTGAGTGTACTGAGCAACTTACAGTACAACTCACATTTACTGCCCCAGTGCATATTTACCAGAAGTAACTCGAACAGTCATGCAGCTTCTGCAAGTGCTCCTATAGATTTCAGTTTGTACTCCCAGAATTCCAGCACAGGCTTGAAACCTTGATGTCTCAAGCATGTTTAACATACATGTCATTTCCCCCAGTAAATCACTGCACTCCTGAATGCGATTAGCTACATAAGATTCACATTTTGCCTTCCAACTGAACTTTCATTATCATTGAGAAAACTTGATTCTTCTCTTTTCTAGCATTATACTTTCATGGACAGTGCCTGTGACACAGCTTATGAGTCATGACAAAAGAACAGCTTTTCCCTCTCTTCCCCAATGCAATCTGGGATACTGTTATCTAGTTTTCAGAGTTTTTAAAAATTGTTCTTTAACTAAAGAGAATTTTCTTGCTGTTCCACATAAGTCCTCAATTAGCACTTTTAACATTCTTAATTATATCACCCCTAGTCTTTTCTAGCACTGGATATCATGTTCGCAGTGTGCAATATGCTAGGGGCAGTGTTTATGTGGCAGACTTACCTTTCAGCAGCCAATACAAGGGCATATTTTGATACCACAATCATTTCTAGAATATTCTAAACCACTTGTGGAAGCAGAAAATACCCATTCTGTGAGGATTTCAATAGCCAAGAAGATGCTATCTTTGTATTCCCCCGTAACCCCAATGGTGTAAATTGTTACTACGCAGAGAGAATGGAAGCCTAGGAAAGGAAAAACTTCACATGACATACAAGTTCTGCCCGGAAGGTGCTCCTCTTTATTGGTACCTACATGCAGTTTGTCATGCATGACAATTATACATCCACATTTGCACTGCACACACTGGGATGCTCTGGCCAAATCTGACTAAAACCCCACAAATACAGTTGTCACGTGTGACAATCTACACACACACAGACACGCACAGGATGATTGTTCCACATAGGAGTTTAGTCATGAGTAAAGCAACCTCTAAACACAGACCTCTCTCATGCCACAGTGGGTACAATGGCCTAAAAATGCCCACTGTTAAGTGTTCGCCATAAAGCAAATTAAATCAAAAGGTGACTTCAGCCACCTTAAAAAAAGCTATTCTGCACAAGTGTTAGCTTGAGTTGGGGGGGGGATGTCTAAGAATCTTTTTGCCTGCATATAATGAATGTATTTGGGCTATAAAGAGCCCTTAGCTCCTCCCTCTGCCTTTCCCTCCCCCAGTGTGAAGCAGAAAGCCAGTCAGAGAGACATTCATCCAAGGTATTAGGGAAAACCAAAGCCGCCCCCTAGCAATGGCACTTGTCTGAGAGTTTCCTCAGCACAGAGCTCCTGAAAGTCACCAGGCTTGCGAGAGGAGAACAGAGGGGCTATTGGGATACAAATTACAGCTCTCTCAGGATTTGCCAGACAGATCAGCCAAAGTAAGTTTTCCTACCTGGACTTGGTAACTTTCTCTCTCTCTCTCTCTCTCTCTTTTAAAATTCTTCCCTCTTCAGTTTCTTCATTACACTAAAAAAAGTTATTGTTTTCCCCTTCAAATTAGCTTTGAAAGGATAGTTGTAAAAACCAGACAACTTTTGAAGCTTAATTTAATTTTAAGGGAATGGGTGTTGGTGTTAACTTTATTTTTGAGCATTGCTTCCTTGAGGTTGGGTAATATCTAACTTCAGGGTTTCAGAAATGATGGTACGCCAAAGCCTTGGATTTTCTAGAAGTTATATATACCTGTAAATTAAAAAAAAAAATTCAGACCAAACAGGAAGAGAATATGAAGCTGAAATCTTTCCACTCCACTTCACCATGCTTTTTACCTAGTCACCTTCAAATGGCACCGTGTGCTAAAGACGCACTTCAAATTTACTTTTAACTCAAGCATAAGGCATTCTTGTTTACTAGCAAAGTCCCCAATTTCTCTGCCCGCTGCTGATATTTTTAACTGGAATCTTAAAATAAGTTTAGCTTAGAAAATGTGAACTCCAGGGAATATTTGAAGGGGGAAAATAGAGAGTGGGGTTTATTTCCTGGGGTCCTGGATTCCTCCACACTTCCTCAGCCTCCATATATTGCCAATGTGCCCACCAAAATGCACATTCTAAGGTTAGATAGACTTTATAGCATGCATAAAAAGCTTCCTGTACCCATATTTGATCTTTTTCCGATCCTATAAACGGTGTGCAGTATAGCAACTGCCTTCCTTGGTAATTTTATTCAGTGTCTGTTGGCTAGTTGCCAGTTTATTAGGATATTCAGAACATTTGTTTTTTGCTTTAGTGTTTACTTTTTCAATTTTTGATTGGTTCCAGTTGGAAGACCTGATTTCTGAGGAATAAAACAAAGAGGGGGAAAAATGACAGATGATCAAGACCTTTCTGAGGTGGAGATGAGTCCTGTAGGTTCTGAAGACCATCACTGCCTCTCACCAGGACCTTCCATGGCATCGGACGCCAGCTCTCACCTGACCAGCCCCAGCAGCAGTGAGATGGGGAAGGTGAAGAAGGAGCAGCAGGACTCAGAGGCGGACGACGATAAGTTTCCAGTGTGCATCCGGGAGGCAGTGAGCCAGGTACTGAGCGGTTACGACTGGACCCTGGTGCCCATGCCAGTGCGGGTCAATGGAAGCAGCAAGAGCAAGCCCCATGTCAAGCGGCCCATGAATGCTTTCATGGTGTGGGCGCAGGCTGCCCGGAGGAAGCTGGCAGACCAGTATCCTCACCTCCACAATGCAGAGCTTAGTAAGACGCTGGGGAAGCTCTGGAGGTAAGAATGGATGGGGGAATCACAAAAGATGAGGGCAAAATGGGGCACATTGGAGAGAAATGGAAGTGAAGAAAAAGTGGTACTGAGTTAACAGGTCTACCTTGATAGTGATAATGGGAGAGCAAGTATAACGGTCAGGAAAATCAGAGAATAAATCCTAAAAGGAGTTTCCTGTCTCGGCTATGCTCTGACAATATAAAACTCAGTCTATGTTTTGATTTTCAGTTCTCCGCTGTTCCATTCCAAGACCCAGTTCACCTTGCCACCAGCGGTAGCCCCAGAAATCTTTCACACACTACATTGTTCTCCTTCCTCTTTTGACCTGCTGCATTCCTTCTGTCTTCACTCTTGGTCTTCTTGTAAGGCTTTCATCCCTAATCAAAGCATGTAGCTACTCTGTTGGAAGATGGATAGTGCTGAACTGATGACTCTCACAAGAGTCCGATAAGTACAAAGTCCAAAACCAGCAGTCATATGATAAACTGACTCATGGCTAATAATATTCAAATAAATAAACTTGCCTGATTTTCTGGCTGAAAGAAAATAAATATGGCTTTTTCACTATCGAAAAGCTGAGCAGCAAATGTGCAAAATCTTTTTTTTTTTTAAAAAAAGCCTGATTTTTCAGCTCACGATTTAAAGCAAGGCTCATGCTTTGTGGATATTCAGGCTTGAAGCATTTGGAGTGGGAATCCTGTGAGGCTGTGTCTCTTGGGGTAAAATATTTAACCTATTTTAATTTCGACTCCCTTACATACATTTGAACCCAAGTCTTGAAGACAGAGGAGGCTGCTGATAGGAGGGTGGGCAAATAGGACAAGGAAGGAAAGGCCAGCTGCCGCCCCCCCCCTCCTTTCCCCATTAAGGAGCATTCTTATGCTGTCTAACCACAGACATCGATAGCTGGCCACTACCTGTCTGGAGGTGATACAGATTTTGAATTTGCAGATAAAAGTAGGGACAATAAAGGTCTAAATAAGAGTAGTGAAAATGCTAACAGTGAGATAAGGGATCTGAAGAAGTGTGTGTACACACAAAAGCTTATACCTTGAATAAAAATTTGTTGGCCTTAAGGATGCCACTGGATTCAAACTTTGTTGGACTGCTTCAGACCAACACAGCTAGAATCTAAAGAGGTAAGGGGGCACAGTTAGAAAAGAAGGTCCCCTGTATTGCCACCATGCCATTTTCTTTCTGTGTGACTATGTTATTTCTGTAGACCTGGTCAGATTGTGGATACTTGGCAATGTTTTTGTTTGTGGGACTATGTTGTTTCATACAGAATATAAACAAAACAGGGTTAAATCTAGCGTTGCATAGGCCGAGGGCATTCCTTACTCATGCACAGTCATATACATTTCTAGATTTCTTTTTGGATTATTAATTTATTGCTCTATAACTGCTCATCTGTTACGTGGGATCCAGAAATTTTCCATCAAGGAAGCAATTTTGTTGCTAAGACACCATGTTACCCAGCATTCAGAACACAGTATTTTACTTATGTAGAATTTATTGACTCGTTTGCAGGGCATAATTGCAGTTTGGTATTGTGACCTGAAAGCAATTGTAAGAATATGATGGGTACCTATTGGACCATGCCTGTGACGTCACTTATTATGACAGAGACTACTCCCTCATTGCTACCTGTTCCCATGCCAGGCCATGGACCTAACAGCAGCAAAGCATAAGGAAATCCCTTGTTAGTTTCAGGACCATAGTAATCATTCTCTCTAGTTTCTCCATGGTCCAGATTTATGACATTGCTAAATCTGGCATTGCATTAGGGCACTGGATACTGCCTTGTAATCAGGACTGGCAAGGCTGAAGTCTAAAGTGCACCTTGAACTGAATAATCATATATGCCCTAAGCCTGGATGATGCCAGCGCAAGCTATCCTTTCAATTTGGTTAAAATTCAAAACAACTTAAGTGAAGCTTAAGTTCATAATTTGCTTTTTGAGTTGAATCCTCAGAATTAAAGTTAGCATTTTGATTTTTATTGGAAAACCTGAATAGTAGATCCACACTTAGTAAGAGCAAAATGGAAGGTGTGTTTCTCATGTTATAATTTATCATATGTCTTGGCTTTGGTGGATGGATGAATGCCAGATATAAGCGATATCCAGGCTAAAATCCCCCAGCACTGGTTGTTCTCTCAAGTCCTTCTCCTGTCCATGCTTGAGCTATCATTCCTTCAAGGGATCTAAATAAGCAGAGGCCTAGTTCATGTGATCAGCTTTGCTGAGCTGTTTTGCTGAGAGGAGCCACATAGAATCCACGTGATGTAAGGGCAAGAACTCTGCTTCTTTTCTGGCTGGTTCCCCCCGCCAACAGCCTCAGTACTTTCCTCACTGCTTCCTTAGACATACTTCAGACCCACCCACCCCCGCCTCATTTTCTTCACCATTTGTTAACTTATAAACACTGAGAATAAGTTTCAAGTAAAGCGTTTGGGTCTCCATTCTTTTTTTGCTTCCCTGCTTTCAGCCATATCGTGCCAGAAATAATCCCATAGTTGGGTCTCAGGGAGACACTTAGAGGGGTTTTCTAAGGCAGAAACAGAAGTTCAACTGTAGGGCTTTATTTAAATCCATTAGTTCTTATGCCTTTATTTTGGCTGCAGTCCTAAGAACACTTTCCTGGGAGTAAGCCACACTGACTAAAACAGGACTTACCTTTGAGTAGACTAGTTTAGGATTGCTCTTAAGTCTCTTCTGTAAGGGAGTGGGAAGAGGGAGATACTTTGGGCTCTGCTGTGAACTTTCTGGGGCACCTTCTTGCCCACTGTGAGAAACAGGGTACTGTACTTGAGGGACCATTGGTGTGATCCAGTAGGGCTCTTTTAAGTTTTTAATAATGCCTGTGGTCAACTATTTGCTGTTTATTAAATCAAATGTCTTCTCCTAATGTGTTTGCCTTCAGGGCAACTGAGACAAAATGGCTTCCTCAGAGAACTAAAATGGGGAAATGTGATAGGCTATAAATGAGATTCCTAAAGGTCGGTGCTGATTAATCCATAATGCGCAAGCCTATGCCATAATGCGCAAGGAAGTCAGTGAAATGTTTCTACATAATTCTCATAATCCTGTATTTACACTGGATGAAATATTTTACAGGAATGATTTTAAAAAAATGTGGAGATATTTATACTTTATATTTGCTTGTTCATGCACATAGTCACCGCTAAATCTGATATTGCTACAAATAGTTTAAAAGCGGACTGGCCATTGGCACTGGTATGTGGCTAGTTTAAAAGTGGACTGACTGTTGGTTTTTGTATCCAGACAGGTTTCATTGCTTTTTAGGCTAGGAACAATTTTAAATTTTCATGCATTTACAGATTAATTCATTTTTATTCCTAGTTGACAATAATCCTTATTATGTATTTATGGAAAATGTTGATATATGTTAATTTCCTTGGTGCCTGTCAATTTATGCCTCGGGTTTCTTTTCACTGGCTATGTATTCAAAAACTCAACTTTGCATTTGGTGTAAGTATAAATTTTTTTAGGCATGAAGTTCGCTGTTGAGATATAAATCAACAAGACAACCAGTCTGTCAGTCATATCTATATCAATGGGATTTACCAATGCAACTAGTAGTAGTAGTGGTAGAATTTATTGTATTTAGCTGTTGGCCATTACAAATTTTACAAAACCATAAAATACATTAACAGGTAAAACTTTAATATCACATGCAACTAACCATTAGCAGTTAGTGACAGAGAACTGCAATGGGATGAACTACGACCAGTAACCTACCACACTACTCAGCAGAATCTGAAACTTTCCTCTAGTATAAGGGGCCTTCCTTCAATGTAAATTGGAGAAGGTCTCTGCAAACTGGAAAAAGGCTTCAAAACTTTGCTCAGTAGAATGGTAGAATACCAGCCAATATCTTTATTGTATGTTAGACAGTTCTGGTCACACACCATTAAAAGAATTCCACTTCCCATGTTTTACTTAAAAAAAGAAGCCAAGACAAATTTTAAACAGAAAAATATAAAAATTCAGTCATAATAGATGTTATTATAACTAATTAAAAAGAGCAAATTCAACAGGAAAATTAAAATCTGAAATATATCTGACAAATTTCAGAGGGGTAGCCACGTTAGGCCAGATTTACATATGCCATAAAACATTTTAGTTCCTCTTTCTCACACTGCTGGTGTGTATGAGCGAAAACCAGAAAGGCAGCTTTAAACCACATGTAGCAGGTTTCTGGATGGATTGCGGGTCACATATAATCACATTTCAGCCTTCCTATGCTTAACATTTTACATTCAATTTGGGCCCTAGTCTCTTGCAGCCAAAACAACAAAAGAGATTTAAACACGATCAAATGAATAGCAGCATAGCAGCGTACGCTTTCATGGGCCAGAGCTAAGAAACAAAAATGCCTTGGCCCTTTAACTAAGGCTTAATGGTATGTTATTTATCAGGTGATGTTATTTTTATCTATGCCCTGAAAAGCTTTAATTGCCCATATCCACACACTAAGCCCCTGCTAAAGGGAAATGAGATTTTTCTCCAGGTTGTTGGCAGCCCCAGTAGAGCCCATTATAGCAAATGAAAGCATATGTCACAATACCTTTTTTTTGTCTTGAAGGTATTTGCTTTCAAGGCATTTCCCCTCTAAAAATGGTTCTTTATGGTGTCACAAGATTTTAACATTGAAATATATCTATTTCTATGGGTAGCGTAGGGGGGGAAAGAGAGTTATATGCTCTTGTAACTAGGCATCCAGTAATCATAGAAGATTAGAGCCTTTGTCTTTTAAAACTATCTTGAGAAATTTGTTATGTGAAGTGCTGAAAGCAATGACGATATCTTTGGTTTAGATTTCCTTCAATCCATAGTCGCAATTACTTTTTAATGATAAGGATGAGGGTGCTGATTTCCTACTATGTTTTAGAGGCTTTGGTCATCGTCACCATTTTTATTATTATGGCTAGGGGTATATGCTCCCCAGCGTGAGGTGAACTGGACACCGATGCGTCCT